AGAGTGATAGTGTTGTAGGTGGAGACGGCGTGCAGGAGAAGGAGAGGTTTTCAAAGAGGGGGTAGTGAAGAGAGAGAGAGAGAGAGAGAGAGAAATGGCAGTTTGGCAATTGGCAAAATTTAGCATCAAACAAACCAAACACGCCAACTAGATTGCGAGAATTAGCAATTTCTAACCTTTCTGCTTTCCTTGCAATTACCATTGTATGCATATATGGCCATCAAATCATGCCATGCATGCAACCAATTTCTTTTATGTGATGCATGCAACCAATTTCTTTTATGTGATGCATGCAATCAAAGCAAAAGATCTTTGTATTGCATACATAAAATTGGAAAATAATTAAAATAGGGTGAGTAAGATAATAAAAAAAAAAAAGTTCAAATATGGTGAGTTGTAGCTAAATCATTATACATTAATTTGTATAATGTCACATAGTTATTATAGAATAAAAATATTGCATTTTTATGATATTAGAGCTTAGACTACATAATAATGATATTTAATAAGGGAGAGACTCTAAATGTGAGGTAATCCATTAGACACAATTCATAGTACAAAAATGTTGATTCAATGTATTGTCTTTGTATCCTCTCTTTTGGTCTGTTTGGTATGATTTTGTTCTTTTTTATTTATTTATTTGAGATTTTGAATTATCAAGTGCTTTAAATTAATGTTAATTATATTCTTTTTGTAAAAGCTTTTATTATTGTTTATCGAAACAACATAAGCTTTTTGTTAATCATCAATGCTTAACAAATTTTAATTCCTTCTCCTTTAATTATAAAAAAGGATAGAAATTTGAGATAATTATTGGTGATGTGAGTGATAAAATTTTAATGGGTTGATGTGTTGCCAAACACATGAACAATTCATGGATGGATAATACTTAAGATTTATTTTTGACAAATGGGATCATGAGTTCAAAACAAAATTTTCTTTTAAAAAGAAGATTGTGCTTATCAATTTTTCTTTTTCTTTTTCTTTTTTTTTTTTCTTTTGAAGGGAAACAAAGATGACTTAAAATTAAGCGGTTTATAGGATCGTGTTTCATTTTTTCCGGTTATAAAGATGAGGTTTATTTTTAGAAAACATATCCCCAAAAATATCTAGAAATAATCATATTTTTAATAAATTTATTTAGTCCATAAAAAAAGTGATAATATAGGGATAATTTTTTT